CCACCACATCACTGCTAATGCATTCCATCCGTAATTACGCTGACACTGAAAAAGTTCCTTCTAACGTCTCTGTGGCTCATGTGGGTACTCAGTTTCCATCTGTGTCCCCTTGTTCGCGTCCTACCAGTGTTGAATAGTTTATCCTTGTTTACCCGGTCGATTCCTCTGAGGATTTTGTAGGTTGTGATCATGTCTCCCCTTACTCTTCTGTCTTCCAGTGTCGTAAGGTGCATTTCCCGCAGCCTTTCCTCGTAACTCATGCCTCTTAGTTCTGGGACTAGTCTAGTGGCATACCTTTGGACTTTTTCCAGCTTCGTCTTGTGCTTGACAAGGTACGGGCTCCATTCTGGGGCCGCATACTCCAGGATTGGTCTTACATATGTGGTGTACAAGATTCTGAATGATTCCTTACACAGGTTCCTGAACGCTTTTCTGATGTATGTGTGTGTGTATGTGTGTGTGTGTGTGTGTGTGTGTGTGTGTGTGTGTGTGTGTGTGTGTGTGTGTGTGTGTGTGTGTGTGTGTGTGTGTGTGTGTGTGTGTGTGTGTGTGTGTGCGCACGCGCGCTTGGTGGTAGAGAGAGATGTTTGTTACAAGGTGGTTCACCACCGCATTCCCTCTCAACCCTCCCACGCACACACAAGATACCCTCCCCCCCCCCCTCCCCACACTTTTATAACGGCATATTTGGATTCCTGTCCACATCTCTCGCTTTCACATACCCTGGCAATTAAAATATAAACTAACGAAAAAAATGCTTTTCACGACCTTCGGTATTTTATCGGTAGCTACCCACATTTAATTAAATATATTTCTCGTCACGCCGGTGAGTCAGAATTCCGCAAGAGCCGAAAAATGGCAATAGAACCAAAAAAAATGAATATATAAATTGGTGGAGGTGGCAAGAACGTCCTTGACCAAGGTCGCTCCCTGACGATGGTTGGTCTTTCCGTTTTCTTTCACCGCCGCCATTGTGACCCCTAACAAAAGATGGAGTGAGATCGGCTCGGGGTCCCCAGATGTTTTCGCGGGGGGATGTTAGGGGGGTCCTGTTTAATGGTAATATTCCCTGCGATTGTATAGCTTACGTACGTGGTGGTTGGGGGGGGGGCTGTTTATATTGTTGAGAGGGGAACGGCATGTGTTGGGGTGGGGGGAAGAGAGAGTGGGAGGGGGGGATGTAAGGAATTTCTTGAGCATGGTGGTGGTTGTGTGGGGTGGAGGGGTCCATTTGAGGTTATGGTGGAGGGCTGTCGGAGAGGTACTGGGGTTGGAGAGAGATGAGGGAAATGGAGAGTTGTGGAGCAGAGGCTGTTAGGTAACACATATATATATCAAATTAATGAAATAATACTAGCTGAACATTTTAATTTGGTATTCATTTTGTTTTTGCTTGTTTTGAGTCATGACTGGGAGGTTTTTTCACTAACTGTAGTCGCACAAAAATCAGTCACTCGAAACATTGGAGCTGATCTTTGGAAGGATTAAACTATATACCAGGAGTTGCTAAAGCCTAGCCCAAGTGCGAGGCTTTATTGGTATATCAAGTTAATGTGTTCGCATACTAACGCATTAATGTGTTCACGCTCATGCTTGAGCGTGTCTAGTTAACAGTAGTGTTTTGAAAAGTGTTTTGAAAGTTATGATCGTCAAAACGATCTTGAAGGTTTATTTTCTTAAGGTTTAAATTAACCAATCTTCTTTCAGTTGACATTTGAACATTTAAGTCATTAAACCATAGTCTACAGTACCGAATTTCATTCAAAAGCAACACTTAAGTGCAACCCTTATTCCAAGTTATGGTAGTTACAGCCAAGGCAGAAGATTATTGAGTTTTAACGTTAAGTAAATACAACTCTAAAAGAGTGGCAACACACATTTTAGAATACTCTGAAAGAAAGACACTTAATATAAAAAGCAACAACTTGTTTTTTTTATTAAGTGTATTAAACATTACATTGTTTGAGGGTGAGAACAGTCCTCACTTTCCCCCATCAACCCCCGACTCCGCACCTGTCAAAAAAGGCACAAGACTCAAAATAAAAGGTGTACAGATGTATCTTTTAAGAAGGTCCGGTTGCGTCTGCCAGTGACCGGTGTGTGCGTGTGGGGGGGGTGGGGGGAAACTTGGCGTGGGGTCAGTAACCATATCAACGGTGTGTGGGCCCGGAGGAGGAGGGGGGAATTAACGACGACAGCTGGTAGTCGTCATCGTTGATGATCACCGCAAGTTAAGGTGGTGGAGGAATGTACTCGCTGCTAACATGCCAGCCCATTTCACCCCCACAGTATTCTGACCACGTGTTATGAGGAGGGTGGACCGCTGCCGCCGCTATTCCTGTTGCTGCTACGACTGTTACCCCCTCTTCCTTCCTCTCCTGTCTCCAACCTTCTTTCCCCAATCATACTACAAGAACAACAACTACCATATACGTCTCCAACTGCCGTCAACAACACCTCCAAACTACTGTATAATCACCTGGAGGTGAAGCGAACCCACCTGTTGACCCTTAACTCCCAGCATGCACTTGTGTAGTTAATGGTTCGCTCAATTACAGGTATCAAGAAGGGAGGGTTAAGGGGGCAACAGTCATACACAGAAAATAGCTCCCGTTAGATACCTTCACGTCAAGGAGGGGGAAGGGTGGAGGAGGAGGCAGCTGCGAGGAATGTTTTCTTCTGTTGTGTGACAAATAAGTGATTCTAGCATCTTTGGAGCAAGTAAAACGGCCGTTGATTTTGGGTTATCTTTGTCAGAACAACAGTAGAATCTACTTTTGCTTTTTGAAGACAAGCAAAAGTTTGATGCCTTGCATTGATTTACAATCACCAACAAATGGAATTGACGAATTAGCAACGATCGTTGCTTTAGATATTGCAACTTTGAACAGCCGGAAGGCGGTCTTTTTTTTAGCTCTTAAAACGCCATATTTGAGACGGAAGGTTGCACGACCGACATCGGTAACTGCACCAGGTTCAGGAGCACCAACAACCTGAGCAGTAAGCACAAAAACCAGTGTCGCAAAATCCAACACCAAAACCAGGTACCCTCCAATATTAGCTCCAGAAACAATCACAGCAGCATTAGATACCACATGCCCACATCGTTAATCCCCTTTCTTCACAATCACAAGGCACTAGGAACCCAACAACAGCACAAAAAGGTAACAAGTCCTACTGTTATCTCATGGTGCTTCTTGGTCAACTCAAGCAACGGAGGCACAATACACACAACACACACACAAGCATGCATACATACAACACGCACAGCACACGCACATTGAGCTGAATAACAAAACTAGTTTCAGCGCCTGGCCCCAAGCCTAAATACCAACATAAAACAACAGAATCAGAAGCATAAAAATTCCTCACCCCAACCTCCCATTATTCTTCCAACACTAGTACCACCACAACTAATTACTGTTGCTACCAATATTAACAGTCAAATCAACTTGTCTAATAGTCACAATCACCACCAACCCCCACAGCAACACCAACACAAATAATCACCGCTGCTACCACCAGCCAGCAAAATTAGGACAATTAATCACCACCACAACTAATCAACAACACCACTGGTCACCATAGGGAAAGGGTGTCTGCTTAACTATCGGTGTCTGATAGGAATTAAATTTAGTTCTCTTTTTCTACTTAGCCTATTCCACTCAGCATTTTGTATGTAGTTATCTGTTTTGTTTTTCTTTCCTTTTAAGATTTACTAGGTTGAGTCCCCTTAACCTGTCTTGATAGCTAGGTTCTATTCCAGGTACCATTCCTTGTTGGATACTTCTGGAGACTCGGTATTGGGGGAGGGGAGGTAGCATGGGATATTGGTTTAGTGTTGGGGGCTTCGGGCAGAGGTTATGTGAAATAGGTGGAAATGTGGCAGTGGCTGGGGGTTTGAGGAATGTGTGGGAGTAGCAGGGCAGTGGCTGGGGGTTTGAGGAATGTGTGGGAGTAGCAGGGCAGTGGCTGGGGGTTTGAGGAATGTGTGGGAGTAGCAGGGCAGTGGCTGGGGGTTTGAGGAATGTGTGGGAGTAGCAGGGCAGTGGCTGGGGGTTTGAGGAATGTGTGGGAGTAGCAGGGCAGTGGCTGGGGGTTTGAGGAATGTGTGGGAGTAGCAGGGCAGTGGCTGGGGTTTGAGGAATGTGTGGGAGTAGCAGGGCAGTGGCTGGGGGTTTGAGGAATGTGTGGAAGTAGCAGGGCAGTGGCTGGGGGTTTGAGGAATGTGTGGGAGTAGCAGGGCAGTGGCTGGGGGTTTGAGGAATGTGTGGGAGTAGCAGGGCAGTGGCTGGGGGTTTGAGGAATGTGTGGGAGTAGCAGGGCAGTGGCTGGGGGTTTGGATGGAGGTTTTGGGGAATGTGTTGTGTAAGGGGGTTGTTGTTAGATTCAGCTACTCGGAACAAAGAGTTCCAAGTAGCATGGGCTATGGTGAGCCAGTAGTGGACTTACAGGAGTGGGGCTTAGGAGTACGGGTTTGGGTGGAGTTTATGAGGAATGAAGGTAGGGTGTAGCTGTGAATGATTGGGGGATAGGGCTTAGTTCTTTTCTGACGGATCATCTTATACTTTAATCTCAATTAGTATTAAGTTTTAGTCTTTAATGTTTTTCCTGCCCGAAACGCTTTGCGTAATAGTGGCTTTAGGCATTGTATGTACTAGCTCTTATCTATAAATCTATCAATTTTTGTAAAACCTCTTGTATGTATGTACCTTACCTGAATAAACATTTATTATTATTATTATTATATGAATCAAATCTCAAAGCTTACATATTTCGCACTTTACTAGAGCCTGGGAGAGTGTACACAATTATTATCACTGGACGTTCAGAGTTTTGTTCCGGCAGTCATCTTTGTGCAGTCAGGTCAGTTGACCTGTCAGGGTAGCCCCTGCATTTCTCTTTTAAGTTATAAAAAAAAACTGGGTACAAATTTTTTATGCTTGTACCTAGAAAAATGAATGAATAACAATAATAATCTCATGTTTATCGTCCGGCAGGAGTTGGCTCAGCTCATCGAGGAAGCTAATCAGTCGCTTGAAGAGTCGGGTACTCCCTCCCACGAGATCCTGGTAGTGGTCTTGCACCGGGAGATCGTCGGTCATGGCTCCATCGGCATCACCCTTGCCGGAGGCGCCGACTACGAGGCCAAGGAGATAACAGTAAGTCCCGTCGCGTTACGTGTATGGCAAAGACCCACAGGCGGGGTGGTGGTCCTCGGTGAGAGGGAAACATTAGTGTACTAACACCATTAAACCCCATGTCTACCATGTCCTAATATTAACACACCTCTACTCCAGCAACAAATCACTGACACTCATAACAAAGACCAACAACCAGTCACAGAGTTAAAATGCAAACTGAACATGCCACAAAGATGAGGAGTTAAAAGTTACGAGTTACAACAGTGGAAGGGAGAAGAAACGGGGGATATGCAGTACTGTAGATGCATTTCTCAGGGCAATTGACAAGATAGACAAGGACAGACTTTTTGCCATAAGATGAGCATTAACAATGGAACACGGTGTGGAAACCAAGTACAGTACAGTACTCTTAATGTGGCACAAGGAGAGTAGAAAGAATTTATTCAGTGTCAAAGTAGTACACAAATTAAATGAACAAGAAAGTGAAGTGGTGGAGACAGGCTTTATATATATATCCTGTAGCTTCAAATGTTTACATGACAAAGGTCCCACATGGATTGTTCTATATTACAGTGGCCATTGATTCTTTTAAGAAAATCTAATGTAGGATGACCAGATTGATTCCTGGTACTTGGGACCTTCCATATGAGAGGAGAGGAGAGGCTTGCATTCACTGGAGAGGCAGAGGGCGACTAGAAACATGATCCAGTCTTCGGGTGTGTGTGTGGTACCAACAAAGTAGATAGGGACATGGTTGTGAAACAGAGACTAAGTCAGAACCTGTAACATTAGTTACAATATGAAGTTCACATTCAGGAAGGATATAGGGAAGTATTGGTGTGGCAACACGTTGGTAGATAAATATAATTAGTTTCAGGCCAACATCATTAAGGTGAATGGAATAGTTAACTTTAAACATAGGTTCAATAAATACTGTATATGAAAAATAGCTTGGCGCTAGATGGGCACTGCTTATAATCACTGCTAAATTCTTAATCCATTTTTTTACTAGATTGAAAGTTGGCAGGTAGAACACGAGATAAACTCAATCCCAACCCTGTGATTCCCTTTAATATATCACTGTTAGTTTTTATTGCCCCTCCTTTCAATCTCTTATCCTCTTAATATTTTTATAAAGCATGTGAAACTTTGATGTTACAGTAATAAGTCAATGAAGTGCATGTCAAGATTGTCTTTCTAAGAATACTGTAGAAGCAAACAAATCATTGTGACTCTTTCTTGTAAAGCACATTGAAGATTATTGTTCCTTTACACGTACAGTAGTTGGCTTTGCCATGGGGCCGCTATTTAACTTGTTAACCAGCAGGTAATAACTACAAATTTGCTTAACAGTTGAGGCATGTAATGTGTGTAGTAGGTTGGCAGACAGCCATTCTGCCAGCAACCTTTACCATGACTTGTGAGATATCTGGTCCAGTCACCTCTATTGTCTGCCATATGTGGACAGGTCACCTCTCCCTCACCACCACCACCACCTCCCCTGAACTCCAAGGCCGTTACACTCTTAGTCTGCCAACACCCACCTCGATCTCTCCCTCTGAAAAACTCTACAAGACCTTAACCACCATCCATGACAACAATGCACAATGCAATCACATTATTGTGATGTATCAATGAGAAAATCGGTAGGAGCCATGAGGATGATTCGAACTTGCCCACCTGGTACACCCAAGCCCACGCCCTGACCACTACATTTTATCACTTCCTGTAAGCCACCACCAACAGGACCTTTTGCTTTAGGATCTTGCTGGAACTGCAGACTACTACTATTTAAATTGTTCACTTGTTTAATTAGTGTAAACTCTGCTGATAAAAAATAATGTATTTTCAGTATTATTACAATGTGACTTAAATATTCATAAACTAGTTTATCGATGTTTATTTCTTGTTAATTACTGCAATATCTTTTTCTTCAGGTACATAAGGTAATTCCTGGAAGTTTGGCTGATCGTGATGGACGCATCCAGCGTGGTGACAGAGTTCTCTCCATCAATGGCAAAAACTTGCGCGGCGTTACACATAGAGAAGCACTCACCATACTTAAGGTAATATTATACATCCAAATACAATGTCAGTGTTTTTCTAATAGAACATTTTACATTTTCTCATTCAATTTGATGTGCAGATTCTAGGTTAATGCTACAATCAATGAGAGCGTGGACTCTCATAAAATTCTACTCATATAACAAGGATTTATGAGTGTAGAATAAAAAAGTTCTGAAGTTACTGTATTGTCTTTTATGGCATCATAAGTTGGTTGAAAATGACTCATGGTGAAACTATTAGGACCTTAGAAGGAATGGTTTGGTTATCTGTAAATAATGTAAGAGATTAAATTGGATACTGTATTTTTAAATGATTTTATCCAGAAAATGGAAAAAAAGGAGCCTCTACTCTGCTGATAAAAATATTACAGTACAAGAACCACCTTCACAGCTATTACAAAATTTAACAATTTCAAAATCTTAAATTTCAAAGTTGTTGGTTTCACTGCATAAAGTAAATGTTTGATGATCCATATACATATCCTGTACTGTAAGAGTCAATAGTTTAAATTATTGTGAAGATATGTATACAAGATCACTTAACCAAATTTATGTGCAAGGTCATTTTTTTTCTTTTTATCCCATATGAGACTTTCCTTGTAGAACAAGCCCCTTACCAGACCCTGAACAAGCCATTTCTTCATCAGGTGAAACCTTTAAGCAAACCACTGAAGAGGCCAGACCTCTTATTTTAGCTGCACAGGCTTTTCAGGTGCACCTAAAATTTTATAAATAATTATGTATGGAGTGTAATTTTTCAAGAATGGGTGGCAACTCTTTGTATTCCTCTAACTTGGCAGTTGGCTTATGATTCAGATGCCAGGATATAGGCCAGGTGCACAAATATATACAGGTACAATATGTTGGCAGTACTCATTTCGTGATTGGGACGAGATTCCCAAGCATTCGGATTTCATGGATGAGGTTTTGGTGGAATACTTATTGTAGCAATCCACTATTCCTGCCTGCAGGAAGGACTGTTTGCTCTTGCTTTCCCTACATAAGATGGAAAGGAAGCGATCTCTGAGCAGCACCCTAGACTTGAGTAGTGCCAAGTTAATCTGCTTAACATAGGGGTTCAAAGAAATTTGGTAATAGCTAGACAAATTGCAAAGTTGAATAGCCTCGGCTCTCAATTCCTTAGGCTTGTGTCTCTGCAGTTCCATCTTTGTTGTCAGAGTAAGTTGAACAACTGCTTTCGTTTAGGGTGTACCCTCGTTCACTCTTCCAGAACAGCAGCATGCCTCTCTGTTCCTCAATCCTCTCAGGTCAGTCCAAAGACCAGTCCTTCTGTGTTGCTCTAACACAGCTCAAGATGTGTTAGAAACAACAATCTAACAATATTAGTGCTCTTCGCCTACTGTTTGAAAGGAATTAAAACATTGTGTGATCTTGAACTCTATTGCTGGTAGTGGCAGTCAGGAAAGGAAAGGAAACAATCGAATTTGTATACAGTACAAGTACAGTTCTCTCAATCTTTTCAGGCCATTTTAATGAGCCAAGTAATAAGTAGGACCAATCAGTAATGTTAGAAAACTATTAATTTAAAAGAGCTGATACTGGTTCAAAAATTAATATTAGAGACAAAATTTGTCAGCCAACAGTGCCTTATGGAGGGCCAGAGAGAAGGCTACCCACAAGACTTCACCATAACATAGCAGAACACAATATCTTACAGCTGAGCGAACTAGTGTATTGTACACAAAATTTTGTTAATTGTGCTTGTTACAAACATACTTTAATGCAACGAACAGCACAGTAAGTGAAGAATACAATATTTTCCGTAAATTCCCCCTTGCGGTTTGGGGAGCTAGTCGGCCGAGCGGACAGCACACTGGACTTGTGATCCTGTGGTCCTGGGTTCGATCCCAGGTGCCGGCGAGAAACAATGGGCAGAGTTTCTTTCACCCTATGCCCCTGTTACCTAGCAGTAAAATAGGTACCTGGGTGTTAGTCAGCTGTCACAGGCTGCTTCCTTGGGGTGGAGGCCTGGTCGAGGACCGGGCTGCGGGGACACTAAAAAGCCCCGAAATCATCTCAAGATAACCTCAAGAAGATATTGCAGGGGGAGGACCAAGCCAGGCAATCGTTGTGTAAACATTGCCAGGACCCACAGAAATTGCCATCAGAACTAACTCATATGTAACTGATAATTTGGATACAGTATTAATAATATTGACGATCTGAATATTAATAATATAAAGAAAATATAATTATACAGTACATATTAATCTACTAAGACATTAGAGTAGCAGTAATGACAGTTATGTTAAATGTTGGCACTGCAAATATGCCGGATGTAGGACAGTCGGGACATTCAACAAGGATATGCACGACCATAAGAGGGACAATGCAATTAGGACAATAAGGAGCAGGGCGGCGCTCTATCAAGTGACCATGAGTTAAGCGAGTATGGCCAATACGCAACCTCGCCAGAACCGTTTCCCATCGCTGGTTACGTTGGTAGGAGGACGGCCACGAGGACTCACAATTTTTAAGAGAACGTAGTTTGTTACCAGTAACAGACGACCAACAAGCTTGCTAACGGGTAAGAATGGAGGAATGGATAACCGGGTAAAAGTCGGAATAAGGAATACCTTTACAAGAGGTGGGACAAGAGCAGACAGCTTCCCTGGCGGCAGCATCCGCACGCTCATTTAAAGACACCAATATGGCTGGGAACCCAACAAAACTCAACTGACTTAAATTTACTGTGAACAAGAAACAGCCAATGCTGGATCTCGACAACAACTGGATGAACCGAATTAGAGGACCTGAGAGCCATGAGGGTACTACGAGACTCAACAACCACCACTAAGGAAGATCGACAACGAGAGAGCAGGAGACGAAGAGCATAGAGAATAGCATAAAGCTCCGCTGTGAAGATGTTAGTCTCCGGAGGCAAGCGACACATATAAGTGTGATCAGGAAAAACAACAGTCTGCCAACACCGTCCGCAGACTTAGACCCATCGGTGAAGACGGAAACAGTGGGAGTGAGAAGGAGGGGTAAAAGCTTTAGGGATGCGGGTCAAGGATGTACAAAACTGCTGTGGAAGGGGGACTCTCCACGGGGGCAAAGAAGGAACAACACGGGGAGAAATATTAGAAATACGAATGGAAAGAGAATCCTGTAAGCGAGACCTACAGTACAGTAAAACTCTACATTACAGTACAGTACTGTAATGTAGAGTTGAAAGAATCTCAGGAAAAATGAAAAGGGGAGGGGGGCCTTTTAAAATTTGCTGGCTTCCTCTCCCCATTGAGGCCAATAGATAGATGATGGCCCTCAGGTAAATTAAGGTAAATTCATCAAATGGTTGCCCACATTTGGGGACCAGGAAGTCTGTTAGGCTTATCAAGGTCCCCCTAGGCCAACTACTTACCTTTCCCAGGATCCAACTAACAATCATTGTCAAACTCTTGGCTGCTGCTTTACTACTAGGTGAACAGAGGCATCAGGTGAAAGGAGACATTGCCCTTTTACCTGATGCCTCCGACCTACTGTGGGAATCGAGTCGGGGATCTTTTTTGTGTGACCCGAGTGCACCAAATAATATTAATTTCCCACATAGCCTTCATCCTAGATTAGCAAGGGTTATTACTGCTGCCTGGAAGAGGCAGGGTGAGGTCTGTGTGTACACTGGTTTACTGTTAGGCAATTCAGAATCTGTTATAGGCAAGTAAGTATGCATGTGACATCATTGGGACTCCACAGAGCTTAAATTTTGGAGTTTTTTATATTTATTGGTTGGATTGAAAATTTCTTCAGTGACTGTGATACTCATGCCTTGATACTCGTGTCCGCATGCTTAACAAAGTACTTCTTTGTAATGAAAGGAGTGGCAGAATACATATGCTCAGGAAAGAGTTTTCTGATCGAATACGGTATGTGTGAATAGAGTTGCAAAGGTTGTACAGAGTATTATTTAAAATCATTATTATTTTTTCAGTCGCCAAGACCAGAGGTTGTGCTAGTCCTGTCCAGAAGTCGATCAGTCACGCCACAGGAGTCTAGTGGAGCCGAGTCAGAGGGCAGCTTTGTCCACCGGCCTGCTCTCATTAACCATATCACTTCTCCCAGACCTCCCAAAATTCTGGAGTCACCAATGGACAGCAAGAGTCTTATCTCTGGTCAGTCATTTCTCTTTAAGTTCTAGTTTTAATAGTTTTGCTCATTTTCCTAGTTTGAATGTAAACATTTTCTTTAAAGTTTCACTACCTTGCATTGCATATGTACTCATTACTGTACTTTTAAGTTAAAATCCAAAGTTATACTCTACTGAACATTTAGTACCAAGAATTAGTCCAGTTACCAGACTGGTTTATTTGTACAGTACTCTATAGAAATATTTGAACATACTTTACAATACTGCATTAACATTGCTAAGCTTTATATACAAAAATGCAAAAAAGAAAAAGAAAAGTCACTTATTTATTTATTATTATAATAATAATAATAATAATTTTTTATTTAGGTAAGGTACATATATAAAGAGATTTTACAAAGTTTGTTGGCTTTATAGATAGAGCTAGTACATACAATGCCTAAAGCCACTATTACGCAAAGCGTTTCAGGCAGGAAAAACATTAATGACTAAAGCTTAAAACTAATGGGTAAAAAGAATAAGATGTGTTGAGTACAAATAAAAATAGAGGTAAAAGAGGGGGGGGGAACATTTGAAAAAGCAGCACAAATACAATTACAAATTATTACAGAAAATTACATTCAAACAGCGTTGATTTGAAAAACAAAAAAAAACAAAAAACATACATGGGTTGACAACAGAGGGGTAAGGTGAGTTACAGGGAATTTATTAGGTATAGCTTCGTTTTTAACTTAAACTGGTTGAGAGAGGTACAGTCTTTAACATGGTTGGGAAGGTCATTCCACATTCTGGGCCCCTTGATTTGTAGAGCATTTCTGGTTTGATTAAGTCGTACTCTAGGAATATCAAAACTGTATTTATTTCTGGTGTGGTGCTCATGGGTTCTGTTACAACCTTCTATGAAGCTTTTGAGATCAGGATTGGCATTATAGTTTAGCATTTTATATATGTATAATACACATGAGAGAATGTGCAGTGACTTAATGTCTAACATATTCAGAGATTTGAGTAGGGGTACCGAGTGATGTCTGGGGCCAGAATTGGATATTGTCCTAATAGCAGCTTTGTGTTGAGTAATTAGAGGACGTAAGTGATTTTGGGTAGTAGAGCCCCAAGCACAAATACCATAGTTGAGATATGGATAGATAAGGGAGTAATAGAGAGTCACCAGGGCAGGGCGTGGTACATAATATCTGATCTTAGAAAGAATGCCCACAGTTTTTGAAACTTTTTTTGATATGTTTAGAATGTGTCCCTGGAAATTCAGCCTGTGGTCAATGAGAATGCCAAGGAATTTGCCATCTAATTTGTTACAAATTTGGGTATTGTTTATTTTGAGATTTATTTGATTAGAGGATTTATTGCCAAACAGAATATAGAAAGTTTTGTCAATGTTAAGGGTGAGTTTGTTGGCAGTTAGCCACAGATGGACTTTATTAAGCTCAGTATTTACTGTGGCATTTAGAGCAAGGGGATCAGGACTGGAGTAAATGAAGGTTGTGTCGTCAGCAAATAGAATTGGTTTGAGGTGTTGGGAGGCATTTGGAAGATCATTAATGTAGATGAGAAAGAGGAGAGGGCCAAGTATGCTGCCCTGGGGAACACCAATGTTGATGGGTAGGGTGGGAGAAATTGTATTATTCACAGAAACACATTGGAGCCTGTCAGTAAGGTAGGATTTGAGGTATTGTAGGGAGTGTCCTCTGACACCATAATGATGTAATTTAAGAAGAAGGTTTTGGTGGTTGACAGTATCGAAAGCTTTATGCAGGTCCACAAATAACCCAACAGGGAACTCATTTTTATCAAGAGCTGTATGAATCGAGTTAAGCATACTAATAAGTGCATCGTTATTTATTTATATACAAGAGGGTACATTGGGTTAGAGAGAATACATAGCATAGTATTTACAATCTTGTAAAGCCACTAGTACGCGCAGCGTTTCGGGCAGGTCCTTCATCAACAGATAATTTTAAGTAGGTAAATTCTTGCAGAATTAATAAAATGATAACATACATTGCAAGAAAAAAATGAGATGAGAGAATAGTAAGTATATTAAAGCACATTGGTATATTAAAGCTCTGGTTGATTACATTGACAACTTGATTGGTAATTTAAACAAGATTAACAGACACCGTACAGCAGATTGATAGCATATATAAGAAGACAGCAATGATCACAATGGTAAAGATGTTCGGATTGGGTACATAAAGATTGATTAAATTATTATAAGATTAAAGATTGGGTAGCAATAGATACAGTGCAATTTTAAAGCAACAAGGTAAAAAAATCTATGCAGATGAGATTAGGTACTTTTTAGTTTTGTTTTTGAATGATGCAAAAGTTGGACAGCTTTTCATTTCATTAGGGAGTGAGTTCCATAGACTGGGTCCCTTTATTTGCATAGTGTTTACACAGATTAAGTTAACTTAAATGGAATGCTTGTGAATTTTGCCTGATAGTATGTCTAGCTTGACATTCTATCCAGACTGATGAGGTACCCTCAAGTAAGTTTAGTTTAATCTATTTATTATGCACTCCATACCCATCCTGTGGGCGGTAGTGAAAAGGGTTACAGACACACATAATGGGCTCAGGGACTGAACCCCACAATTCATTTAGCTAAGCAGGTTACAATCTTGATGAGCTAGTTACAAAATTCAATGCACATTGCCACATCAAGAATGGGCTCGAGACCAACCACAAGTACGGTTTCTAAATTAAGCAACTGATATATGTGAAGAGCTAGTGTCACAATTGCAGGCGATGAGTCACAATAATGTGGCTGAAGAATGTTGACCAGACCACACACTAGAAGGTGAAGGGACGACGACGTTTCTGTCCGTCTTGGACCATTCTTAAGTCTACTGTACACAATCGACTTGAGAATGGTCCAGGACCAACCAAAATGTCGTCATCCCTTCACCTTCTACTACCTTCTAGTGTGTGGTCTGGTCAACATAATGTCACAATTGATATGTTTATCCTGCACACTGCCCCCCAGCCAGTGGGCAGCGGTGCATAGGTTATAATCACTCGATTATTACCTGCAGTTAGCAAACTGGGGATATTTGGCTAAGATAATGAAGTACTTTTACCACTCACCCCCCCCCCCACTTTATAGCACACTTTATCTAGCCCACCTGCTCACCTCACCAGTTTATTGCATGTTTTTATTTGGACAAACCAAAAATGAATAACAACCACATCCAGATAAGAAGTGTATGGAAAGAACATGGTAGTCTGTAAAGTGTATTTATTTAAGAAAATGTAATTTATTCTTTTTTTTTTTTTTACAGATGCTGCAGCAATGTCAGTTCCCAGAGGCCCTCCACTCACTATTACATTAATGAAAGATGGTGCTGGTCTTGGCTTCTCACTAGAGGGCGGCAAGGATTCTCCTCTTGGTGACCGTCCCCTCACTGTCAAAAAGATATTTAGTGGTAAGTTGGCAGTATTGGTGTATTGTCCTTGATACTTTTAATTCATAATATTTAGCTTAGTTGCCTATATTATATGATAATTGTATGGAGTAGACCAGGGTATAAAGTGATATAAATTGAAAGCAAGCTATGCATCACTGGCATATAGGGATAAAGTAACACACTATGACTCGTTGTATTTGAGTCAAAATAAAGTATTTTTTTTACAAGAAAACTGAGTATGAAGAATGATGTGGGGGTAAACTTTGATGAAAATAAGGCTTGATTAAATGGGACAGTAGTTACAGTGTCTGTTGGAGAACAAATGGAATATATGAATTGATAGACATGAGGGTGAGTTTTATAGTAAGTATTTTAATGTGAAAAATAGGAGTTAAAATTAGTGAACTAAAAAGAGTTAAGTTTAAAGTTTTCAAGAGCAAAACTTCAGTTGTTTACCCTATGGTTCAACTTAGGGTTCCTGTCCTGGACTATAAGAAACCATATTATTAGGATCATTGAAGATCCCCACAGACATAAAAGTTAACATGAAATTTATGATTTTCTATTATCTTTAATCTACTTTGTTCGCATGAGAGTGAGTTAATATATAAATCTTGATATGTTTGGTGTTGTGTTTTGATTCAGAAAATGTATTATTATGCGGTATTCATGTACGTATCCCACATTAGTCTAAACTTATTGTGTGTTTGTAATTGTTACAGGTGGTGCAGCTGATAAGGGTGGCATACTGAAGGTTGGGGATGAATTAGTGAGTGTTAACACAGTGGATGTAACTGGTATGGCACGTATTGAAGCCTGGAACTTTTTAAAGAAGCTCCCAGACGGTACAGTGTCTCTGGTGTTACGACAAAAGCTAGAAGATCCATCAGCAAAGAGTGAAGAATGAATAGAAGTTAAATTATACCAGTGAATTTGATTAATAATTTGGTGAAACAATTAGGAATTAATTACCTGGTTTGATCTTTCAATTATATTTAGCAGTAATCACTGTGGCTTCACTCTTTTGGAAACATTCGGTGAGAAATAATAGGATCTTTTTCATTGGTGATCCTTTACCTTGTCCATATTTATACCAAGCCACAAAGTGGTCAACCATATAATTTCAGACAGCAACACTTAATTTCAAAGTTGCAATTTACTAATTCTCAATTTTGTATCTCCTATTATTCTATCTTCTGCTACATATTTTTTGTCCTACAAAGGACCCTGTTAGTACTTGAAAAATCCTTATCATCTTTTAGTGGAAGGAATAATGATCAAGCTGACACAGAATTTCTCTGCAAGCTTTCACAACTGTGTTGCTGGACTTCTTATGTATGTGGTAGTAACCCACAAGTGTTAGTTCAGAAATATTCAGCATTTTATATCATTATTCCAATACAGAAAAATGCAAAATATATATTACTGGATAAATTAAATGCATTAGTCTTTTATGGGATTCATGTAACACTAAGATCTATCACGATTTTAGGGTCAGTTCTGTAACGTTAATTGAAACCAGTAGACAGTAATTCAACCATAGCAAGCAAGCTTGTTTTGTATACAGTACTATTATTTCACAATACAATGTGAGCAAACCAAGTTCAACGTTAAAATGTTAAACGGTGCTACAGTGTCTTCCTGGCTTGGCACCTCCTTTTAATAATTACTTGAAACGTTGAATATATGCATTAATTAATATCAGAATGTAAGAGGTATATTATGTAACAGTGCAAATTGAGAAATTAATTTTGCATTATGTTGCTATGCAGGTATATGAGAATGTTAGCATATTGTGTAGCTTTTGCAGTTTTCTTCATGAATATGCAAAATTTTGCACAAGGATAAATTTTTATTAAATATATATATATACTGTATATGTATAATATTGCATACTCTGTGCTAATCAGTTTGTATAATTGGTAGGTAAATGGACAGCAACAAAAATCCATAGTGGGTATTTGTATTTTTAATCATTGTTGCCAAAACTCGTTGATTTTAATCTCCCATATATTTCTACGCATTTTCCTTCTGCCATTTGAACCAAGACTTCATTGGGAGACTCAGAAGCTTAAGTAAGGTCTTTCATTATAAGAGTAAGTGTTCTACTTTGAACTAGATCCTAATTTATATTCTTATTACATTTGATAAAACTTTACATTAAGTAACCATCAGCTTGATTGTATATATAAGTAGCATTTCAATGTGAAATGTTACTTTTTGTATTATATTTTTCTTATACTGAATCATAATGCAACATTTTGTTGATTCAAGATTTTATTTATAATAAAATAGGATCATCGAGTGATTATGCTACATTTAAAATGAAACCTTTGCTGTTTGCTGTCAAGTTTGTCTTGACATTTCTATAATAAAGGAACTGGTGGAGGCTAGTAGCCAACAGTGGCCTTAGTTGGGAGAGTGGTGCTAGGGGCTGTGGCGGGGTGATGGTACAGCCTTTCCTGGGACTCTCAAAACCCACATGTACTTCTCACCTGAATTGTGAGTTGTGATAACAGAGCTTGTGAGTGGGGCCCCTAGGAGCTGGTGCCTGCTGTATCTGCCAACCCTCAACTGTGATAGGTGCATTTGTTTATGCTGATTGATGCAATTGACTGATACTGTTGCATAAGATAAAGGATTGCATTATCTTCTTACAGATACTTTATTTTATACAGTACAGTATAGCAAGTGTCAATTTTATTTGCATCCTCGAATGTCACCATATTCTTTTCGACTGCTTAGTGTAATCTAAATCTTGTATACTATAATTATACCTATCTCATTGAGCTGCTCATATAGAACTTCAGTTCATTGAGTATTAACTGCATTCATATTTATTTGGCTCAATTTTTTTTATTTTTCCATTTCAAATTATAATGGTTTCAGTTATTGGAATGAGATGTCTTGCAGCTTTTCTGTAGTTTTTATTTTTATATTTTTTTAAACATTGTCAACTTAAAAGCAGCATTAAAACCTTTATTGTATGATAACCTTGCATTGACATTGAAACTTATAGTGAGAATGTTGATGAAAGGGGGTAAATTGTTTTAGCAAAATGTTTCTCCCTATGTTTCAAGTATCATTTTGTAGACTACAGTAGTAAGCTTGCAGCAGCTGCCATGATGCATTTTAAGAATCAATGCATTTCAGTCATTAGAATGAATGAATAAATGAATTATAAAGTTTAGGCCCATGCTGAGGTGCTGGAATCCGAAGATTATTCGGCACCGTTTCAGCAAATTCTCTGTACTATATTGTAAATATTTTTATGAATGAATCATGTATTACATATTATAAATTGCTCTTTATGTGAGATTACAATATATAAATTTGTGTAGGTATCCCAGTAAGTTGTGCTTAGTAAACATAATGTATACCATTATATTTATATGGTTGCTAATTCTGCACTGCCCATTACAGACTTTGGGTAGATTAGTATATCATGAAATGCAGTAACAGTCAATTCATTCATTAAAAGTGGTATTAATTGCTTTGTTGTGGGTGGTCTTGCTGTAATGGGTATATATTTTTGTATCCATTGTTATTGTGCTTTATGTAAAGAAGAGTATTTGAAAATGCATTATTATGTACATAACATCACACTAAGTAATGAGCATATGTTCGTAGTTTGAGCCTCAGCTTTGTAAGGGAGAGCGGACCAAATAAAGTAATGTATGATAAAGATTACTGTATTATTAACATTTTACCTTGACAATAAATTATAAAAAACAATCTACATGGAAGAATGTTATACAGTTGAATACATAAGTTTACTTATGTTGCAATACATGTATAATGCTAACATTGTATAATATAACAATGCTACTTTTCGCTACTTTCGCTACTTTTTAGCCCAAAATTTTGCTACTTTGTAGCCCAAAATTGGGCTACTTTCGCTACTTTTTAGCCCAAAATTGGGCTACTTTCGCTACTTTTTAGCCCAAAATTTCGCTACTTTTGCTACTTTTTAGCCCAAAATTGGGCTACTTTCCCTACTTTTTAGCCCAAAATTTCGCTACTTTTGCTACATTTTAGCCCAAAATTGGGCTACTTTCGCTACTTTTAGCACAAAATTTTGCTACTTTTTAGCCCAAAATTTCGCTACTTTTTAGCCCAAAATTGGGCTACTTTCGCTACTTTTAGCACAAAATTTCGCTACTTTCGCTACTTTTTAGCCCAAAATTTCGCTACCTTCGCTACTTTTTAGCCCAAAATTGGGCTACTTTCGCTACTTTTAGCCCAAAATTTCGCTACTTTGTAGCCCAAAATTTGGCTACTTTCGCTACTTTGTAGCCCAAAATTGGGCTACTTTCGCTACTTTTTAGCCCCAAATTGGGCTACTTTCGCTACTTTGTAGCCCAAAATTGGGCTACTTTCGCTACTTTTTAACCCAAAATTGGGCTACTTTTGCTACTTTTTAGCCCAAAATTTCGCTACTTTTGCTACTTTTTAGCCCAAAATTTCGCTACTTTGCCTACTTTTTAGCCCAAAATTTCACTACTTTCGCTATTTAGCCCAAAATTTCGCTACTTTTGCTACATTTTAGCCCAAAATTGGGCTACTTTTAGCTCAAAATTTCGCTACTTTCGCTACTTTTTAGCCCAAAATTTCACTACTTTTGCTACTTTTTAGCCCAAAATTGGGCTACTTTTGCTACTTTTAGGCCAAAATTTCGCTACTTTTTAGCCCAAAATTTCGCTACCTTCGCTACTTTTTAGCCCAAAATTGGGCTACTTTTAGCCCAAAATTTTGCTGCTTTCGCTACTTTTTAGCCCAAAATTTCGCTACTTTGTAGCCCAAAATTTCGCTACTTTCGCTACTTTGTAGCCCAAAATTGGGCTACTTTCGCTACTTTGTAGCCCAAAATTGGGCTACTTTCGCTACTTTGTAGTCCAAAATTGGGCTACTTTCGCTACTTTTTAGCCCAAAATTGGGCTACTTTCGCTACTTTTTAGACCAAAATTTCGCTACTTTCGCTACTTTTTAGCCCAAAATTTCGCTACTTTCGCTACATTTTAGCCCAAAATTTCGCTACTTTCGCTACTTTTAGCTCAAAATTTCGCTACTTTCGCTACTTTTTAGCCCAAAATTTCGCTACTTTGTAGCCCAAAATTGGGCTACTTTCGCTACTTTTTAGCGCAAAATTTCGCTACTTTGTAGCCCAAAATTGGGCTACTTTCGCTACTTTTTAGCCCAAAATTTCGCTACTTTTGCTACTTTTTAGCCCAAAATTGGGCTACTTTCCCTACTTTTTAGCCCAAAATTTCGCTACATTTTAGCCCAAAATTGGGCTACTTTCGCTACTTTTAGCCCAAAATTTCGCTACTTTCGCTACTTTTTAGCCCAAAATTGGGCTACTTTTGCTACTTTTAGGCCAAAATTTCGCTACTTTCGCTACTTTTTAGCCCAAAATTTCGCTACCTTCGCTACTTTTTAGCCCAAAATTGGGCTACTTTCGCTACTTTTAGCCCAAAATTTCGCTACTTTCGCTACTTTTTAGCCCAAAATTGGGCTACTTTCGCTACTTTTTAGCCCAAAATTTCGCTACTTTTGCTACTTTTTAGCCCAAAATTGGGCTACTTTCCCTACTTTTTAGCCCAAAATTTCGCTACTTTTGCTACATTTTAGCCCAAAATTGGGCTACTTTCGCTACTTTTAGCACAAAATTTCGCTACTTTTGCTACTTTTTAGCCCAAAATTTCGCTACTTTTTAGCCCAAAATTGGGCTACTTTTAGGCCAAAATTTCGCTACTTTCGCTACTTTTTAGCCCAAAATTTCGCTACCTTCGCTACTTTTTAGCCCAAATTGGGCTACTTTCGCTACTTTTAGCCCAAAATTTCGCTACTTTCGCTACTTTTTAGCCCAAAATTTCGCTACTTTTGCTACTTAGCCCAAAATTTCGCTACTTTGTAGCCCAAAATTTGGCTACTTTCGCTACTTTGTAGCCCAAAATTGGGCTACTTTCGCTACTTTTTAGCCCCAAATTGGGCTACTTTCGCTACTTTGTAGCCCAAAATTGGGCTACTTTCGCTACTTTTTAACCCAAAATTGGGCTACTTTTGCTACTTTTTAGCCCAAAATTTCGCTACTTTTGCTACTTTTTAGCCCAAAATTTCGCTACTTTGCCTACTTTTTAGCCCAAAATTTCACTACTTTCGCTATTTAGCCCAAAATTTCGCTACTTTTGCTACATTTTAGCCCAAAATTGGGCTACTTTTAGCTCAAAATTTCGCTACTTTCGCTACTTTTTAGCCCAAAATTTCACTACTTTTGCTACTTTTTAGCCCAAAATTGGGCTACTTTTGCTACTTTTAGGCCAAAATTTCGCTACTTTTTAGCCCAAAATTTCGCTACCTTCGCTACTTTTTAGCCCAAAATTGGGCTACTTTTAGCCCAAAATTTTGCTGCTTTCGCTACTTTTTAGCCCAAAATTTCGCTACTTTCGCTACTTTGTAGCCCAAAATTTCGCTACTTTCGCTACTTTGTAGCCCAAAATTGGGCTACTTTCGCTACTTTGTAGCCCAAAATTGGGCTACTTTCGCTACTTTGTAGTCCAAAATTGGGCTACTTTCGCTACTTTTTAGCCCAAAATTGGGCTACTTTCGCTACTTTTTAGACCAAAATTTCGCTACTTTCGCTACTTTTTAGCCCAAAATTTCGCTACTTTCGCTACATTTTAGCCCAAAATTTCGCTACTTTCGCTACTTTTAGCTCAAAATTTCGCTACTCTCGCTACTTTTTAGCCCAAAATTTCGCTACTTTGTAGCCCAAAATTGGGCTACTTTCGCTACTTTTTAGCCCAAAATTTCGCTACTTTGTAGCCCAAAATTGGGCTACTTTCGCTACTTTTTAGCCCAAAATTTCGCTACTTTTGCTACTTTTTAGCCCAAAATTGGGCTACTTTCCCTACTTTTTAGCCCAAAATTTCGCTACATTTTAGCCCAAAATTGGGCTACTTTCGCTACTTTTAGCCCAAAATTTCGCTACTTTCGCTACTTTTTAGCCCAAAATTGGGCTACTTTTGCTACTTTTAGGCCAAAATTTCGCTACTTTCGCTACTTTTTAGCCCAAAATTTCTCTACCTTCGCTACTTTTTAGCCCAAAATTGGGCTACTTTCGCTACTTTTAGCCCAAAATTTCGCTACTTTCGCTACTTTTTAGCCCAAAACTTCGCTACTTTCGCTACTTTTTAGCCCAAAATTTCGCTACTTTCGCTACTTTGTAGACCAAAATTGGGCTACTTTCGCTACTTTGTAGCCGAAAATTGGGCTACTTTTGCTACTTTTTAGCCCAAAATTGGGCTACTTTCGCTACTTTGTAGCCCCAAATTGGGCTACTTTCGCTACTTTGTAGCCCCAAATTGGGCTACTTTCACTACTTTTTAGCCCAAAATTGGGCAACTTTTGCAACTTTTTAGCCCAAAATTTCGCTACTTTTGCTACTTTTTAGCCCAAAATTTCGCTACTTTGCCTACTTTTTAGCCCAAAATTTTACTACTTTCGTTACTTTTTAGCCCAAAATTTCGCTACTTTCGCTACATTTTAGCCCAAAATTGGGCTACTTTCGCTACTTTTAGCTCAAAATTTCGCTACTTTTGCTACTTTTTAGCCCAAAATTTCGCATACTTTCGCTACTTTTTAGCCCAAAATTGGGCTACTTTTAGGCCAAAATTTCGCTACTTTCGCTACTTTTTAGCTCAAAATTTCGCTACCTTTGCTACTTTTTAGCCCAAAATTGGGCTACTTTCGCTACTTTTAGCCCAAAATTTCGCTAATTTTTAGCCCAAAATTTCGCTACTTTCGCTACTTTGTAGCCCAAAATTTCGCTACTTTCGCAACTTTGTAGCCCAAAATTGGGCTACTTTCGCTACTTTTTAGCCTAAAATTGGGCTACTTTCGCTACTTTGTAGCCCAAATTTGGACTACTTTCGCTACTTTTTAGCCCAAAATTGGGCTACTTTCGCTACTTTTTAGCCCAAAATTGGGCTACTTTCGCTACTTTTTAGCCCAAAATTTCGCTACTTTGCCTACTTTTTAGCCCAAAATTTCACTATCGCTACTTTTTAGCCCAAAATTTCACTATCGCTACTTTTTAGCCCAAAATTTCGCTACTTTCGCTACATTTTAGCCCAAAATTTCGCTACCTTCGCTACTTTTTAGCCCAAAATTGGGCTACTTTCGCTACTTTTAGCCCAAAATTTCGCTACTTTCGCTACTTTTTAGCCCAAAACTTCGCTACTTTCGCTACTTTTTAGCCCAAAATTTCGCTACTTTCGCTACTTTGTAGCCCAAAATTGGGCTACTTTCGCTACTTTGTAGCCCAAAATTGGGCTACTTTTGCTACTTTTTAGCCCAAAATTGGGCCACTTTCGCTACTTTGTAGCCCCAAATTGGGCTACTTTCGCTACTTTGTAGCCCAAAATTGGGCTACTTTCGCTACTTTTTACCCAAAATTGGGCAACTTTCGCTACTTTTTAGCCCAAAATTTCGCTACTTTTGCTACTTTTTAGCCCAAAATATCGCTACTTTGCCTACTTTTTAGCCCAAAATTTTACTACTTTCGCTACTTTTTAGCCCAAAATTTCGCTACTTTCACTACATTTTAGCCCAAAATTGGGCTACTTTCGCTACTTTTAGCTCAAAATTTCGCTACTTTTGCTACTTTTTAGCCCAAAATTTCGCTA